ATTCGGCCGGGCTCGGTGGCTCAGCCTGTAATCCCAGCACTTTGGGAGGCCGAGGTGAGTGGATTGCCAGAGTCCACGGATTTGAGACCTGCCTGGGCAGCATGGTGAGACCTCGTCTCTACAATAAATTAAAAAATTAACCAGGCGTGGTGACGCACACCTGTAGTTCTGACTACTTGGAAGGCTGAGGCAGAAAGATCACTGGAGCCCAGCAGGTTGACACTGCGGTGGCCGTGAGCGTTCCAATACGCTCCAGCCTGGATGACAAAGGGAGACTCCAACTCAAAAAAAAAAATTTTTTGAAATTCATTTCTATATTGTATTTGACTTCAACAGCATTTACCATAATTTGCAGTTAGGAGTCTTAGTGTTGATTCCACCAGATTATACAACTTTGGGTAAATCATTTCCCAGTCCTCTGCCTTGGTTCTTGCTTATTGTGTATCTGTGTCTCGTTTATTGTCACTTTCCCCACTAGACTGTGTCCCTCACTAGACCCCCACTGTCTCCCCCATTAGACTGTGAGACCGAATGTTTGTGTCCCCCCAAAATTCACATGTTGAAACCTTAACACCCAATGCAGTTATATTTGGCGAGGAGGCTCTAGGGAAGTCATTAAAGTTCAGTGAGTTCATACAGTGAGGCCATGATGCAAAGGAGTAGCACCTTTATAGGAAGAGACTCCGGAGAGCTCTCCCCTGACTCTGTGCACAGGTAGAGGGGAAGACTGCATGAGGCCAGAGGGAGGAGGCCGTATCTGCAAGCCAGATACAGCTAGGAACACACCCAGCTGGACCTTCATCTGGGACTTCCAGCCTCCAGAATGATGAGAAAATAAACCTAGGTCGTTTAGACCACCTGGCCTGTGGCATTTTGTTATGCAGATCTAGCAAGTTAAGCCAAGGGTATATGTTTTGTTTCTTCACCACCTTGGTCTCACTTCTGCCACAGCACTTACCACACGGTGGCAGCAAGACTCGATAATGAGTGCTGAATGAGTCACCCCATTTGTACTGCATTTCAAGAGCTTGGGAATCAAGAGATCCGGGCTGGGTTAACGTCCCTAACCCACCACTGATCACTATTCACTCGGTGTTCCTTCCCTCTCTGGGCCAGTAGGTGAGATGGTAAGATTCAGCAAGATGCACCAGCTTGATGAAATAACCGGGATCGTTAGTTCCCTCTCGTGATAAAATGATACAATGCAAATGATTTCCCCCTGGGGGACACTGACTGTGACCCAGGCATGGTATTTGGTCCTTTTTTCATTTAATCCTCATCCTGGCCTCCAGACACCCTTTTCTGTATCATTTTTTATCCTGAGATGATCCTTTCAACGGTGGGGGGTTGAAATATTCTCTTTTTTAAAAAATGATGGTAATATTACAAAGGTCCTTACAGAAAGAAATGAGAACTTGCCCATCTATGCCAGTCCCCACGATTTATTTGGAAATTTGAAGCCCCAGTATTGAATGCCGTAAACTATGCACGTGAAGGGGCTTTACATTATTTCAGCGCTGGTCTCTGCTATGCGTTAGTCATAGTGGAGGAACACGAAGTAACTAAACTACAGCTTTAGAGGAACATTCCCACAGGCCTGAACTCAAATCAGAGCTCTACCTCTAGTGCTGCCTGTGTTACCTTAGGTAAGATAAGTAGCCCCTCTGAGCCTCAGTTTCCTCCTCTGTAAAATGGGGTTAATAGTAATACCTACCTCATGGAATACCCTTGGTCTAGAGCTTGGCATATGGATAGAGTCAATACATGTGAGTTGTATTATCATAATTTAGGCAAGGTTGGGGGCATCCCGGTCACTGCCACAGGCTGTGAGGAGGTACCTGGGAGAGTGAGAATGGGGAAATGAATTTCAGCTGGGTAGGAGTTTTGTTTTGTCTCTGGAGTCTCCTTCTAGCCCAGAGGAGTACTCGTGTTCATTTGCACCGGATTGTACAACCTCGGGCAAATCATTTCCCAGCTCTCTGCCTTGGTTCTCTGACCTATTAAAAAGGAGGCCATTGCTCCCACTCCATGCAACAGTGGAGCCCAAACCTTGACCAGAATGAGAATCACCTTAGAAACTTGGCAGAAATCCGAAGACCCAGATTCCTCCTTCACCAAGCCTGAGTCTCTTTGTTCCTTATCAGCTCTCCAAATGCTTCGAAACACACCACGTTTCAAAATTGCCATCAAAGAATGAGAGCCACAAGGCACTGTGTTTACTCTAAAGGACCCTAAGAGATTATCATCGCTATTTAAAGGCCATTTGTTCCACCCTCTGTGGAGATGTCCCGTGGGCAGGCTGTGCTCACACAGGCTGTGAGCTCCCCACCCGAGAAAAGCTATCCTGCATCCCAGCATCACACAAGACCACCCAAGTTCCTGGGGTCCTCACACCTTTGGAAGTCATTCACAATCTAGTATCCATCTTGTAAAGGAGAAAGTGAGGAGAGGGACAGTACCTTTCCCAGGGTCACCATAGCCACAGCAGAACCCAGGGCTCTAGATGCCTGAGCTCCCAATGTTAGAGGGGTTTCTTTTGAAGGCCCCACCCTGCTGGAAGGAGCTCTCTGGCCTAAACAAGCTGGTGCAACAAGTTGGGGGTCTGCAGCCCCACCCACCAACCCTGTAAATGTCTAATGTCCCTGGTATTCCAGCAGATGTTCTGAAAGATTTAAAGATGAACTTGGGATTCTTCTCCCAATCTGGAGAGGAAAGCAAAAACTAGCTCACATCTAAGTGTGCCTTGTTGCCTAAGTAGGAACAGCACTCTACCAATAACAGCAGATCTGAGGTTGGAAATGAGAATTGTGGAATCTGTAAACAGCAGGTCACAGGATGCGGCCTGCCACCCCACAGACCAAAAACACTGCCACGTCATGGTACCAGACAAGGCAATAACGTTTTTCAAGTCACAGGAAGTGTTTCGCTCAGTTCAGTAGAAGAGACTTACAGGATGGATTCAGCATTCAAACCAAGGGCAGTGAAGGGTCAAATCAGGTTTGCATATAGAAAGACCTGGCTAGAAAGCTGCACAGCATAGTGAGACCCGTCTCTACAAAAAATTAAGAAATAGGCCGGGCGTGGTGGCTCATGCTTATAATCCTAGCACTTTAGGAGACTGAGGTGAGAGGATTGCCTGAGCCCACAAGTTCGAGACCAGCCTGGGCAAATTGGTGAGACCTCATCTCTACAATAAACAAATAATTAGCCGGGCAGGGTAGCGCGTGCCTGTAGTTCAGGTTACTTGGAAGGCTGAGGTGGAAGGATTGCTGGAGCCCAGCAGGTCGATGCTGGGGTGGCCGTGAGCATGCCACTGCACTCCAGCCTGGGTGAGAGAGTGAGACTCCGACTCAAAAAACAATAAAAATAAATCAAAAATTTAAAAATAGCCAAGCATGGTGGTGCACACCTATAGTCTCAGCTCGTTGAAAGGCTGAGGCAGAAGGATCCCTTGATCCCAGGAGGTCAAGGATGCAGTAAGAAATGATCATGCCACTGCACTCCAGCCTGGGCAACACACACAGAGAGAAAGACCCTATGAAGAAGAAGAAGGAGAAGGAGAAGGAGAAGAGGGAGAAGAGGAAGAGGGAGAAGAAGGAAAGGAGGAGGAAGAAGGAGGAAGAAAGTGGAAGAAGAGGAAGAAGTAGAGGAGGAAGAAGAGGAGAAGGAAGAGGAGGAGAAGGAGAAGAAACTTGGGTAAGAAGAGTTTGGATCTGCTGAGTTCTAGCCATGACCTTCAGCAGGTTATGAGTTACCTCTGAGTCTCAGTTTCTACATCTGTAAAAACAAAATAGCAAAGCTACCCAGAGAAGTAGCCAGGCTTTGTAGAGCCTGAAGTTCATACCATGAGATGGGCGGGAAGGCAGGGGAAGGGAGGGGCAGTGGTTAGTGGTGGGGAGAGCTTCTTCAAGAAAAAATACACAAAATTACACATTCAAAATTGCGTAAGGGACCTCAGGAAGAGCCCGTGTGAGGGAAGGCCTGACAAATCTCTCGGTCGCTACCAGTCAGCAGCGCGATTCTTTAGTGGAACTCTTGGCACATATGTAGGTGCCAGGACCTCAGGAATTTTCAGTTTCAGGATGAGATGAGGGAGGGGTGAGTGGCATGGCTTGAGTGAAATGCTGTAATTTTGAGGAAGGAGGAAATTTTGGCCTGTTCCTTTGCACTGAAGCAGAGATAATGACAGAGAGTGGGAAACTAGAGAAACGCCCAGGACCGTCTTTAGCTGTGGAGTTCTACCCTGAATGTCATGTGTGACCATAGGCAAATCATACTGTCTCCTGGGACCAGTGCCCTGCCCAGTAAAATAGGCTGGGAGTCGTACAATCTCTTCTCTGTTTCCAGAAGAACACCCTCTACTCACTCTGTGGTGCCTCACAAGAGCTAAGCTGTGCTTAAAGGTGAGTGAGGGATTCTTTTTTTCCAACTTAAGAAAGGGGAGCTCCCAGGAGGGATGTCTTGCAGCAGATTGTGGAGCCAGTGAGATGTGGAAACCCCTACCCTGAGATGAATAAAGGGAGGGAGATGTGTAGGTATTTTCTTGGAGGCAGGAATAGGGTCATGGTTAAAAACCCTACAAGTCGGGCTCCAGTCCCAACTCTGTCATTTTCTAGCTATGTGACCTTGGGCAGATTCCTTTACTTCAAGAAGCCTCTGTTGTGTCACTATTTCATTTATAGGATTGAATAAGAAATGTAGATAAAATACTCAGAGGAGTGTTGATCCCTTAGTAAGGTGCCTAATAACTATTTGTTATTAGAATGAGCAGTGTCTCAGTCAGTATCGCTACTACTATTAAGTCCTACCAATAAGGGTGAATGATTCCTTTCCCTAGTCCCTCCTCCTCTCCTCCTCCTTCCAGAAGTCCTCTTCCACTGGCTTCTCTGGGCAGGAGGAGGTGCTCTCCAGGGAAGTGGGCAGGGCCCAGCTGCAGCGTGGCCAGAGCCAGCCCAGGCCCATGCCACCAAGCAGAGTGTGCACCTGCGTCAACTCCTTTCTGCTTGCGCCCTCCCAGAGCAGACCTCCTTGTCACCCTGAGCTCTTCCTTTCTAAAGCAACCATGTCTGTGACAAAGAGTGACGGGAGCCCCCAGGGAGCTGTTGCCCTCAAACTGGACCTTGTGCCGCCTCCAGAAAGTGCCAAGAAGCCGGAGAACACAGACTCCAGCTTCTTGGATGGAAGCCCTTCAGAGTCGCCGGGCTTGGAGAAGACCAAGGGCATAACGTGAGTGCTGTTTTCTGCCATCCGCATTTCTGCCTTCCAGCCTTGGACCAGCATTGGTGAAAACCCCGAGGGGGGTGTGTCTCACCCTCAGCCCACTGTGCAGATGGGGAAACCAAGGCTGCAGAGGTGCAGTCAGAGGCTGAGTCAAGATGAGAGTGTAAAGGACAGGAGGAGAGACATCAGAAATGCCCTTAGGGACAGAGCGATCCAGGCCTCGCACTAAGCCAGCCCCTGGTAGAATGGAAGCTAGAATCCAGTGCTGGTCCTAGAGCTGAGTTTTGGTTCCTGGTCAGTGCTGTGAATGCTGGAAGAGAGGCCCAATCCCTAACTCCTTGTAGAAGAAGATAAGTGCTGGGTTCGAAACCACTGACGACCAAGCACTCCCCTGTGGCTCCTTCCTCAGTAAGCCTGGCCTCTACCTCCATTAATTGCAGAGATGACACCAAAAAGTACAGTACATGAAAGGTTCTAGTTCTGTCCATTTTCCAGAGGGCAGGGAGGAGGAGTCATTCACAAGGCTTTCAAAACACAACAAAGAGGGACACCAAGCAACAAGGCTCCAGGTTCCCCTGTGCAGCACCTGACTCGCCCCCGCACTCAACCAGACTAGCTAGTTGACTTAGGGAAAAAAAATATGGGGTGCAGTGGTAGAGAAGTCCTGCCACCTTAAGAAGAAAGCTCTTGTACCACTGGCATAGCAGAAGAGCACTGGACAGAGAATCAGGAGGCCTGAGATGGAGTGGTGACTCTGTTCCTTCTCTAAGTCTTAGTTTCCTGACAGGCAAACTGGGCGACAGTGGGAATGAGAGGAGGATGTCTGCGGAAATGAAACCTGAAGGTGTGTGCCAGGGAAGGTGGTGCAGCAGGGAGTCCCTCCCTTATCCACCCCCAACCCCCACCCCCGCCATCCTGCTGGACACTGTAGAGATAGAAACAATGACTGGCCCTGGTCGGGTACAGCTGCCCTAGGGCTAGTCCCAGGAGTTGCCAAAGACAAGTGCTCCCAGGGTGAGCTGTCCAGGCCTGGGGGCCATCACTGCTGAATGGAGTTCTTTCTCAACCACAGGCCTAGAGGGAACCAACTAACTTTCTAGTCCTGAACTGACACGAGGTTTGGTGGCAATTTTAACTACTTAAGAATAGAAGGGTCAGGCATGGTGGCTCATGCCTGTGACCCTAGCACTTTGGGAGATGGAGACGAGAGGACCGCCCGAGCCCAGGGCCTTGAGATCAACCTGGGCAACTTGGCGAGACCTTGTCTCTACAATAAATTAAGAAATCAGCCGGGCGTGGTGGCGTATGCCTGTAGTTTCAGCCACTTGGAAGGCTGAGGTGGAAGGATCGCCCAGAAGGTCGAGGATGTGATAGGCGTGATCATGACAGTGCAGTCCAGCCAGGGCGAAATTGAAAGACTAAAGCAAGTGACAGCTAAAGGGGGACTCGTGGCTTGGGGAGAAACCGTGCAGCAGACTGGATGAGAGGGCAGTGGTGGGGCCAACTCACTGAATCTAAATTCCCACTGAGCGTCCTACCTGCTTGACAAGGGACAGGACAACTTCTCCGTGCCCAGTTCCCCCTATGAAATGCTGTCTCCCTCCTCCCGGGCAGTTTGCGTGTGAGCCCCCAGGCGAATGCCTATAAGCGCCGCCTGCCTGAGGATGACAGCTCAAGGTCACCCAGGGCATGAGGGCTAGAACCTACATCCAACTCCCAGCCCAAGACTTTGCATAACTCACCACACCATGTTTAAGCTGACTGAGTAGCCCAAAGTTAAATTCTGATTTCCTAAGTCCTTTAGTTAGAAATTTCCAAAGTGACCCGTTGACCCTTTTCTAGTTGCAAAACAAGCGCATCACTGGTGAGGAGGGCGCAGTGCTTGGTCAGCGCTGTTGACACCCACAGGGAGAAAGGCATGCAGAGACTCTCCACCCCCGGCCCTTGACTATTCTCTTTAACCCTTAACAAATCCGCAGGCAGCTCCTCAGGGAGCTAGAGGGTTTAGGGCTTTAGCAGAAAGAGCTCGGAGTAGTTCTTTCAAATACAATCACTCCTAACATTTACAGAGGCTCAGCAAAGTCCATATGCTGTCCAAGATGACACAAGTAAAGTAGTGACCTTGAGGTTTCCTTGCTTGTCCAACCCCAGAGACAGGCTCCTTCCAGAATACCTCTGCTGCCTCTCAGAATATGTTTCCTAGCTGGGAGGCCTCGTGGGGAATTTTCAAGGTTTCTACAGGTGAACATGTGAATCAGATACTCACCTTGACTTAACCTAGTTCGGGTACAGACAAGTGTGGAAATAGGGTTGTTTTGTAATTCACCAGCAGGGAGGGTAGCTCCCTGGGATATTTCTTTTTTTTTTCCCTGATGGTTTACACCTTGTCCTCAGGACCAGTCCTCACAGTTGTCTTAAAGAAAAGGTCTGAGTTCTTGTTTGCAGGAGGGGAGGCATGCTATTCCCCATCCTTGAGGCCCAGGCTGAGGGGAAAAAAAAAAACCTTCAAGAGCCCAATCCTGAATGACCATGTCTCACTAGGTCCCATCTGAGGACTCACGTCATCTGACTTATTTATTCAGAAGTCACAATGATTTCTTGTTTCTGCCTGCCCTTTTCTTTGAGTTTAATCCTGTCTCTATTACTAGTATTATGACCTAGGCTGGTCGCAGCCCCATCTCTGTGCCTCAGTTTCCTCACTTATAAAATGGGGCTGGTCCTTTACTCATTCTGTCTGGGCCTACCTCTGGCCTGTCACAGCACAAGTAGGGGTAAAGGACAAGGACTCCGAATCATCCTGGGGTTAAATCCTGGCTCCCCAAGATATCCTGGATAAGTCATTTAAAGGTCTCTGTACCCCTGTTTCTTCACCTGCAAGATGATAACAGAATCAACTTCACGGCCTGGACAAGAGGATTAAATGAGAGAATGCATGTAAGGTACATGGCATAGTGTCTCATGTAGTAAGTGTCCTCACGGCACAGACTGCAAGTTGGCTGCTAAATCCAGGACAGTTCTGGGCCAACCAGCATGGTTCACTACCCAACAGCAGGCTCAGAGGTATCAGGCAAGGAAGCAGGAACTGAGAGCGGGAACCCACTGAGGCAACTGACTCAGGTGCTGGCATACAGAGAGAGCAGCCGTTGGTTCACCACACCTTCACACGCCACAGCCTCACATCTTCTTCTCCTTCAGAGGGTTCCAGGCCTTGGTTCACCTGGTGAAAGGCAACATGGGCACGGGGATCCTGGGACTGCCCCTGGCGGTGAAGAATGCGGGCATCCTGGTAAGAGGGGTGTGGGGTGGCGTGGGTGGAGCCCTGATGGGTGATGAGGTTTATAATAGCCTGTAGTGAGCAGTCTTTCTGGAGGCAGCATGGTCCAGGTTTGGAGTCGACGTCCAGACTGGGTTTGATTTCTGGTTCCACCACAGACTTGAGTGGCCTTGGCAAGTCTCTTGTCCACTCTCAGACCCCAGTTTCTTCCCTTGTACAATGCAAAGGCTGGACTGTGACCAGTTTTCCAGGTATGCTCGGTGAGCTCTGGGTCTCTTTGGGGATGCTTCAGAAGCCACCATGAGCACACGTGGTCAGGATTCTGAGTCCCCTACACTCCACTGTAATTGCTTTATGTACTTTGCTGGAATGCTACTTGAGGTTATGTTTGAAAGAACAGCTGGCCGGGCAAGGTGGCTCAGCCTGTAATCCCAGCACTTTGGGAGGCCGAAGTGAGAGGGTTGCTTGAGCCCCGGGGGTTCGAGACCAGCCTGGACAACTTGGTGAGACCTCGTCTCTACAATAAATCAAAAAATTAGCTGGGCATGGTGGTGCGCATCTGTAGTTTCAGCTACTTGGAAGGCTGAGACGAAAGGATGGCCAGAGCTCCACAGGTCAAGGCTGCGATGGCCATGAGCATGCCACTGCACTCCAGCCTGGGCAACAAGAGTGAGACTCCAAGTCCAAAAAAAAACAAGCAAAGAAAGAAAGAGAGAACAACTGTTGCTTCTACAAAAGGACTTGCCAACCAGTTTGCTAGAAAGTTTTTTGAGTCCTTAATGATACCTGCACTACTGAACCCTCCTCCCGGCATTCTTCACAACCCCGTTCTCTTCTCTCTCCCCCTGCCCCTGCCTCCCGCCTCCTCTAGGTGGGCCCACTCAGCTTGCTGGCGATGGGCGTCATCGCCTGCCACTGTATGCACATCCTGGTCAGGTGTGCCCAGCGCTTCTGCCACAGGTGAGGACTGCATCCTTATGCCAGTCCCTTTGGTACATGGCTCTCAGGGACACCGCAGAAACATCCTACATATTACACACGTTTCCTTCTTAGTTTTCTCCAATAAGGCCAAGAAGAGAAGGGTCAGGGGGCTAAGGGTGAGGGTCCTTCGGTGACCCCGGTTAGGCCACTGTGTTGATCTGGTGGGCTCATCTATAAATCAGTCGTTAGCAATCCATGCCTACCCCTGCCTCGGGGATTGTCATGAGGCTCTGATGGGCCCGTGCATGTGAAAGCTACTGTACCCATGCAAGGCTGGCATTGTTAATGACTCTTTCTGCTTAGTAACCACCTCATTTAACAGGTAAGGAAAACAAGCCAGCAAGGCATGACGGCCAGGGGTCAAAGCCTGAATTAGACTTAGGTCTCTGCCTGGTGTTCTTCCCACTCTCTAGCTATGTCCCGCTTGCTCTGTGTCTCCTGACTTTGGAGCATGTGATCTGAGGTTAAACGATCCCCTGGCCACTGTTTGCGCTCTCTCCTACAGGCTGAATAAGCCCTTTATGGACTACGGGCACACGGTGATGCACGGACTAGAAGCCAGCCCCAGCGCCTGGCTCCGGACTCACGCCCACTGGGGGAGGTAACCTGTGTTTGCTTTGTCCACGGTGGGACGGGACACAGGAGACAGTGCTGCTGCCCGGGGTGGCTTCTTCCCTGAAAGGTGGCCCATGTGGCACAGAATGTCAGATATTCTGCATGGAAGGGGTTCACCGGCAACATCCCTGATCCAGCCTACTCCTTGTACACTTCCAGTGACCCAGTGACAGGGTATGCATCCCTTTGCTATGCAACCTTTATATATATTCATTTATATATAGACAAGGTTTTGCCTTGTCGCCCAGGCTAGCATGTAGTAGTGCCATCATAGCTCACTGCAGCCCCGAACTCCTGGGTTCAAGCGATCCTCTCGCCTCAGCCTTCTGAGTAACTGAGACTAAAAGCACCATCATGCCTATCTAATTATTTTTTCTAGAGATAAGTTCTTGATATGTTGCTTAGGCTGGTTTTGAACTCCTGGACTCAAGTGATCCTCCTGCCTATGCCTCTCAAAGTGCTGGGATCACCTCTCAAAGTGAGTCACCATAACTGACTGCAGCTTTAATATTCTTCATTTTTAAAAAAACTAAACTACATTTGTCCAGGTGCTACTATGTACCAGGCCCTGGAAATACCATGGAGAACATGACAACAGGGCTTTGTCTTCCCAGAATTCATAGTCCAGCTGTATTAAACAGCTTAGAACACAGTTATTTAATAACCACTGGGATTGATGTGATGAAGGGAAGACTGGCTGCCACCGAGCAGATGAGGAGATGTGTGTTGGCCGTGGGGAGAGAGGTGGGGGTTCCCAGGATGGAACAGGTGAGATTGTTTCTGAAGGAAGGCATCCCGGAAAATGAGGAATTACCTTGGGGAAAGTAGACAGGGGCCTGGAGGGCCTTCTAGGAAGAAGGAAGGGCAGGTGTGGAGGCTCGAAGCAGGAAGGTAGACAGATGTGACAGTTTCAATGGACAGACGGACAGGTAGCTTGAGGGCAGAGTCAGGAGAGCAAACCTGAGAAAGGAGCCAAGTGCCTGATCAAGTTGTACATTTTGGACTCTCTTAAAGGTTTTATTCTTTTCTTCAACGCAACCAGGAAGCCATCGGGGGGGGAGTTTAATCAGGAAAGTCATCATATTTCCATTGTGTGAAGACCTATCTGGCTTCTGTGAGAACAGATTGCAAGAGAGCAAGGGCAGATCCGGTCACCCATGAAGAGGCTGTTGCTGGTGTCCAGACGGGTGACGGTGGTGGCTGGGACCAAGCTGGTAGCAATGGGATGAAGAAAAGTTGACCTGGTCATGAACCAGATCCTGGAATTGAGAGTAAAGGAAAGAGTTAAGGTTGATTCTGACTTCTAATTACTTCTATTTTGGACAAGTTGTGTTTGAGGTGTTTGAGAGACAGTCAAGTGGAGATGTCACTGGGTATGTTTAGCTTTAAACCTATCTTTATGCAGGAGATCCAGAACGAAAGTCATCAGCCATGAAGACAGGGGACAAAGGAGATCTCTTAGGGAGAGGAAGACTTTAAGGACCCTCTGTTGAGCTGAATGGAGTCTTTTCCCCCGAAAATTCCACCTTTTAATTCTCAGGGGTGACACAGAAAGAGCCAAGACCCTTTGTCCTCTGATACCTGGGACTAAATCGACTCTTTTTTACAGACCCGCCCCCACCCCAACTGCCTCCGCTTTTGAGCCTCATCTAGATGGTCAAAGTCTCTTTTGAACTGTGCTGGCCCAGGCTGATGCAGTACTATTGAGGCGCCCCTGCCTGTGGAATGTTGTCTACACGGCATCATGGGCCTGACACTGCCCTTAGCCCAAAGCCCATACTCACATGCAGAATCAGTAAGTTCAGCCTGTGGGCAGACTAGGGAGGCCATGGGATAATGACCAGAATTTTTTCTGTGTGACCCTAGAGGAGACTTACATGCCACAGCCCTCAAATCCTTCTGCTTATTCTTGAGCATATAAAGAAGTTTTCCCTGCTCCATTTACGAACCTTGTTCCACTAATTATTGCTTCTCTCATAACCAGAACTCCTTTACTTGTACAAGCTCTTCCTCTCAGCATTTAATGTGTTCACCCATCTCCATCTTAAAAAGAATAAAGTGGGCTGGCTGGGCTCAGAGACTTATGCCTGTAATCCCAGCACATGGGGAGGCTGAGCCAGGAGAATTGCTTGAACCCAGAAGGTTGAGACCAGCCTGGGCAACATAGCTAAACCTCGTCTCTACCCTCCCCCAAAAAATTATCCAGGTATGGTGGCACATGCCTGTAGTCCCACCTACTTTGGAGGCTGAGGTGGGAGGATCACCTTGAGCCCAGGAGGTCGAGGCTGCGGCAACCTTGATGGTCCGTTGCACTCCAGCCCGGTGACAGAGTGAGACCCCCACCCAAAAAAATATAAATAAATGGACAAATACATAAAACTTCCTGTACCATACACCATCATAGGCCCCATCCTGTCTTATATTCAATGTATATCATTCCACGAATGTCTACTGCACACCGGCAAGGCGTCAGGAAGTGCTTCAGGTAATGGGTCTAGTGACGAAATGGCCACTGTCAGCATGGGAGCCCACTCTCTAGCTTCATGAAAGAACAGACCACCCTCCGGCCTTACTGCCTTCCATCCCACCCACGACTTTCGCAGCTCACCTGGCTTTACTACCCTTATCATTCTACTGGCTCCTCTTGGCCTTCCTTGCCCTAGAGAACCTTGGTAGCAGCGGGTACAATCAGCAATTCTCTCCTTCGCACATTCTCTCCCCGCTTGGCAGCTAGGGAACCTCCCCCACCCCCAGGCTCCCCTCCTACCCTTCTGGCCACTCCTATGCATTTGTCACAGCCCTCTTTGTTTCTGTTGAATGCTGGTGTTCACCAGAGTTCAGAACTCGACCGTCTTTCCTCATTCTGTCCTCTTTCCAGCACTTACCTGCCTTCTCAGTGCGTTCCCACTACCACAACTCAGCAACTCCAGAGCCCGCTGTGTGGTTGTTCCCTGAATGTCTCCTGCAGGGGCCTCAAGCTCGACACTTTAGACCGCGAGTGTGACATTTCTTCCCCTTCTCCTAAAACTATTCTGAGTTTCTCAGTTCATTTTATTGTCCAAGCCAAAGCCTGTGAATCACCTTAAGTCATTTCCTCTCCTTTTACCCCAGACGTGGGTGATCGCCAAGTTCTGCTTAGTTGTAGGTCCCTGGGATCTGTTACATGCTCAATTCTGTCACCCTAATGGCCATACCTTTGTCCAGGCCACTGCCAAGAATGCTGCACCTCATGAGTGAAAGAATTTTCTATCACTCCTCCCTGGCCTAGCCCTGCTCTTCAGCGGACTCTCCACGTGGCACCTAGAGAAATCTGCCTGCTTCCTCTGCCGAGATGCTCTTCCCTCCCCTTATCTTTCCATCCTCCTCCCCGCCCTCCTCCTTCTCCTTTTCTTCCTCCTCCCCCTCCTCTTCCTCCTCCTCCTCTCTCTCTCATTCTCTCTCTCTTTCTTCCCCTTCCCACAGGACTCTCACTCAGGTTCTGGTTTCTCTAAGGTTTTCTGTCTGCCCACACTTTATGGCCCTTTTCACCATGGCCGTTAATGCCATATTATATTTTGTTCATCTCACCCACTGATCTTAAGCTTCTGGAGAAAGAGATCATGTGTTGCCTGTGTATCCTCAGTGCCTAAACAGGTGTCTGACACATGGTAGAGAATAGCTGTGAAATGTTCATGATAGCTGTCCCACCTGGATACATATCGAGTACAAGGAAGGCGGCAGGGGGAGGTGTCAGAGGAAGCTCCCCACCAGGAAGGATTTTGTCCACATGCAGAGCATGTGAAGGTGGTTGGAAACCATTTTTAAATTTAATTTAAGCCAGGCGTGGTGGCTCACACCTGTAATCCTGGCGCTATGGGAGGTGGAGGTGACAGGATTGCCTGAACCCAGGGCTTTGAAACCAGACTGGGCAACTTGGCGACACCTCGTCTCTTCAATAAATCAGAAAATTAGCTGGATGTGGGGGCGCACGCCTGTGGCTCCAGCTACTTGAAAGGCTGAGGTAGAGGGATCGCTGAACCCAGCAGGTCGAGACTGCAGTGGCCGTGAATGTGCCACTGCACTCCAGCCTGGGTGACAGAGTGAGACTCCAACTCAAAAAATAATGTTAATTCAATTTTTATTTCTAAATACATATAGTTGGTAAATGTGCAGTTTTGTTACATGGATATATTGCATAGTGGAAAACATTTTTTAAAAAGACCTATCGTTGCCTCATTTCTTTGCCTCCTTATTGATTGTGATGGAAGGACTGAGGGTGCTTTTGCAAGGCCACCAACCCCTGGGGACAGAGGCAGAATGACAAGAAAGGAAACCAACAAGTCGACTTCTTTTACAAAATGTTTTCTTTTCCTCCTCCCTTCCAGGCGTATTGTGAGTTTCTTCCTCATTGTCACCCAACTGGGCTTCTGCTGTGTGTACATCGTGTTTCTGGCTGACAATTTGAAACAGGTAGAGTCTTCTAGAGAAAATGGGAGGGAAAAAGACATTGACACGGCTGTCTGCTAGAAGTTTAACAAATTGCTTCTCCTGTCTGGGTCCTCGCCAAGCTAGATGTATCAATGAGCTTTGCCCCTGACACAGACCTGCAGGTTTTCGTGGGGTTCCTTCTACCACAAGACCCCTTGTCCAGAATCCTCGGTTGGTCTCTAAACCCTGAGCTGGTAAGACCCTTGGATTTTGTCAATCCTGTGGCCTCGGAACTTAATCATACTTAAGGCTTCTAACATTGATATGGGTCTTGTTTTTTTTCTGAAAAAAAATAACTCAAGTCCTAGTATTTCATTAGTCTATTTTAGAATGCTATAATTGCCATGTGAATGTTTTCTTTTTTCTTTTCTTTTTTTAATTTTAAAGATGTTGGTACAATTCAGGGTTAGGTATACAAATGTTCATTATGCAGGTACCTTTGTTGATGAGGTGTGCTCCTCCCTCCCCTGGCAATTTCCCTAAACTGCCAATCCCACCCCTCCTCCCCTGGCAGTTTCCCTCAACTGCCAATCCCTTTCTTATAGTATTATGAGAATTGTTCAAGGTTCGTTTATTAGTGAGAACATATGATACTCTGTTCTTTATTTCTGTGATAGATCACTGAGTATGATCAACTCCAAATCCATCCAAGTTGCTGCAAAGTCCATACGTTTGTCCTTCTTTATGACTGCATAAAATTCCACTGTGTATATTTACCACATTTGATATGGATCTTTTTTTTTTTTTTTTTTGAGTTGGAGTCTCACTCTGTCGCCCAGACTGGAGTGCAGTGGCCGCTCCCAGCCACTGCAGCCTCGACCTGCTGGGCTCCGGAAGGCTACCTCATCTTCCTTGTGCCATTTTTATCTACATTTAGCTGCTTGATCTCTAAATTAACTTGTTCCTAGGACATCTGGCAGATCTAACCTAGAAGTTATATTGTAGCAAATCATAGCAATTTGAGCAAAATAGTATCACTGGAGCAGGGAAACCTTCCTCCTGGTAATAATGGAGGCCATCCTCAATCAAGAAGCTTAGGAGTAAAAATTATCTTAAGGACTCTTTTTCTACTTAGAATATTCATTAGAAATTCAAAAATGTAAAAAAGTTAGAAAAAAATAATAAGCATTCAGAGTTAGCATCTGTTATATGTCGAGAACAGTGCTGAGTACTTTACATACTTTCCCTATTTAATTGTCTCCATGACCTTGTCAGTGTAGGTATTGCGGTGATTCCCATTTTGCAGATGAGAAAACTAAGGTTATAAACTCATAATATATATAAGGCCACAAAGTTGAGGTTAAGAACCCAGGCCTTCTGACTCCAGAGCTCAAGTTCTTAAACATTATATTATACTTCTTCCTCAAACAAAACAAAATAAAATAATTCATAACTCAACTATTCATGGAGCCGGGCTCGGTGGCTTAGCCTGTAATCTCGCGCCTTTGGGAGGCTGAGGTGAGTGGATTGCCTGAGCCCGCGGCTTCGAGACCCGCCTGGGCAATTTGGCAAGACATCTCTACAATAAATCAAAAATTAGCCAGGCATGGTAGCGCGCCCCTGTAGTTCCAGCTACTTGGAAGGCTGAGGCAGAAGGATCGCCAGAGCCCAGCAGGTTGAGGCTGCGGTGGCCGGAGCATGCTACTGCATTCCAGTCTGGGCAACAGAGTGAGGCTCCAACTCAAAAAAAAACAAAACGAAAAAAACTATTCATGGGTATAGTTTATAGAATAACTGTAGCACTTTGTAATGTTCTTACATTTTGTGATGTAATTTTGATACTTATTTACTGATTTATTTTGAGACAAGTTGTCATTCTGTCATTCAGACTATAGTACAATGGCATGATCATAGCTCACTGCAGCCTTGACCTCCTGGGCTCAAGGGATCCTTTCACCTTGATCTCCTGAGTAGGTGGGACTACAGGTATACACCACCACACCTGGCTATTTTTTGTTTTTGTAGAGATGGAGTCTCACTCTGTTGCACAGGCTGGTCTCAAACTCCTGGCCTCAAGTGATTCTCCTACCTCAGCCTCCCAAATTGCTCCCAGGCATGAGCCCATGCCTGGCCTATAATGTAATTTTTGATAGTTGTTTGTTTTTTGTTTTTTTTTTGAGTCAGAGTCTCACTCTATTGCCCAAACTGAAATGCAGTGGCACGCTCATGGCCACCACAGCCTTGACCTGCTGGGCTCAAGTGATCCTTCCACCTCAGCCTTCCAAGTAACTGGAACTACAAGTGTGTGCTACCACACCCAGATTATTTTTTGTTTATTGTAGAGATGAGGTCTCACCAAGTTGCCCAGGCTGGCCGTAAATTTTAATAGTTTTATAATACTCCATCACGCATATTGACCATAACTTAATTTATCTTCTATCACTGGATATTTGCTTTGTTTCCCTTTGTTTTTCTACCGCAATCTGGTGTGGTGGCACACAAGTCTTTGTGCACCCCTCTATTTCCTTAATATATGTTTCTTAAAATAAAATTACTGGGTCAAAGAGTTTGTTTTGAAGGCTCTTAACACATGTTGCCAGATTGCTCTTCAGAAAGCAATCTGATATCTGTAGACCTATTGCTATCATCTGCATTTATTTAGCATCTGCATTTATCATCAAGACAAGCACTGTCTCAAGGAGTTTACAGGCTAAGTGGGTGTGTTCTAAAGCCTAAAAGTTAAATATCAATGCGATATTTTGGTGCCAGGTCAGGATGTCACTAACGACACATTGTAGACAAGGGCGGGTACTTACCTGCGAACTCCATGGCAGCGATCACTGGAGCAGGGAAGACTTCCTCCCGGGTTGCATTTGAGCTGGGTATTGAAGGGCAGCTTGGAGGAAAAGTGGCTTGAGCCAAGGTGGGGAAAGGGATGGGAGAAAACCTGGAGGTAGGAACTGCTTGACTGGCTAGGAGAAGGTTGGTTGTAGAAGAAAGGGTAGGCCATGGGAGAGGAAGAGCCTTGAAGGTTGGAAGAGCCTTGAAGGTTGGATAGGGCCCATTTATGGAGACCTTCGTTCCTGGCTAATGTTTCAGGTATTTTCCTGCTGTAGTGAGGAAGTAGAAAAAAACAAGACTAACAATTCATTGTATACATTGTTAAGTGAAAAAGAAATTTCAAAATAAAAGAGTGTATGTTATGATTATAGTCTTGTACATAATACATGTCACTCATGATACTGAATAGAAAGTACATAGATGAATATATTCCAAAATGCTACCCTAGCTGTCCACGGGTATCGAGTCATTCTCAATCCTTTTACACCTTATTCCTGCTTAGCTCACATTTCTCACTATTTGGCAGTGGGTTCCATTGATTACACAAGAAATATGTGTCAGTTACAGCCTGACATGGTGGTGCACACTTGTAATCCCAACACTTTGGGAAGCTGAGGCAGGTGACTTGCTTGAGCCCAGGAGTTTGAGAGCTGCCTGGGCAACATAGTGAGACCTCTTGTCTGCAAAAAATTAAAAAATAAGCCAGGCATGGTGGCACACACCTGTAGTCCTAGATACTCAGGATCCTGAGGTGGAAGGATTATTTTAGTCCAGGAGATCAAGGCTGCAGTGAGCTGTGATCACACCACTGCACTCCAGCCTGGGTGACAGAGTAAGACCTCAACTCAAAACAAAACAAAACAAACAAACAAATAGAAACTATCAGTTAGGTCATGCTGACTTTAAATGGAGGGTGGGAACATTCACCCACGTCTGACTGTGTGGAGGCGGGGGGTGTTTCTTGTGTATCACAGTGACTGAGGGACGCTAATGGCTTTTGCTGGATGGGGTCCAGAATACTAAATGTTCTGCAATGAGTGGTCCAATCCAGACAAGGAAGAATCTTATCATTCAAAATGCCAACTAAAAAAACAGCAAGTTAACTAAGAAACAATAACTGATGGGGTTTTGGGGTTATAAACAAAAGAAATAGATTCTGGAGAAAATTTAAGCAGAAAATAAGTTTAGGGGAAACATATCAGCTACCATGAAAAAATTTGAAAATGGGTCTCAGGTAAGTACAGACACCAGAGTAGCCAAGCGGATACAGATAACAGAGCTCCACGAGCAGTATCCTCTGGCCCCACTGCCAGAATCAGCCTCACCCTGCCCCATTTCTGTCCTTGTGCCACTGTGCTTCTGATTTAGGCTCACATTCCTGGAAGAGATTCGGAATGCCCTCGCTTGAGTCCAAGGCTGCTCCTTTAGCTCTGCCCTACGAATGTGACTTACCCTCCTCTCAGGCTGCATTCAGGAGAGAGAGAGAATTCACCAGAAATAATCGCTGTCAGAGGGAAGAGATGCCGGGTTGCCAAACACCAACAAATAGCCACTACACATTCAGTTACTTATTTTGTATTATACTTATGTATATTTTTATTTACTTATTTACTCATTCATTCATTCATTTTACAGACAGGGTCTTTCTCTGTTGCCCAGGTTCTAAATACACTTTAACTCCCCATGACACTTGGCACCACAAGGCCTTCAACTCTGTGAGGGAGTTTGATTCCGGGCAAGACACTGAGCCAACCAACCATGTGGTCAGAAGATCCAGCTTCGCCTCCTCTTGCTGTTCCCATTCCTTCTTCAGGTGGTGGAAGCCGTCAACAGCACAACCCACAACTGCCACTCCAACGAGACGGTGACTCTGACGCCCACCATGGACTCGCGGCTCTACATGCTTGCCTTCCTGCCGGTCCTGGTGCTGCTGGTTTTCATCCGGAACCTCAGGATCCTGACCACCTTCTCCATGTTGGCCAACATCAGCATGCTGGTCAGCCTGGTCATCATCACCCAGTACATCGTCCAGGTGAGGCACACCACCCCTGATCCTCAGGTAGGCAGGGCCTTTGTCTGAATGGCAGACCGAGCTTTAGTCGCCTGGGCCAGCCTCGAAGGTGGGCAAGTGTTCCTCACTCTGGCCTCACACCCACCTCATGTGGCATATTTCTTCCACAAAGATGACTCAGGGCCATCTCAGTGTTCTGGATATCGCCTCGTTCGTTTTATTTCTCCAAACACCTATTTTTATGTCAAATTCTGACTTTTAAAAAATATACTTTGCAAAGAAAACACCTCGATTGGTGAACAATAGACCATTCTTATTAGCAGCAAAAGACAGATGAAAAACAGGCTCTGTATCACAGATAAAACCTATTGAATTATCTAGAGGCTATGATTCCAGGCACCCAAAGTTAGCTGTAGGGAAGACAAGAGAAAAAATAATAATATTTAGTCATAGAGGTATAAATAGAGAGCCCCCAAAACCACAAGCAAATCTGATATGATGTGAGTTACAAATGTCTTTGAGGTTGAATTATGGATATCGATTTCCCCTTCATTTCCTAATTTCTTATTCTTTCCAATTTTTCTTTTATGATGGACAATGCTATGTTAGACATGTAAACCCTAGAAGCCCTTTGGGATACCAATAACTTTCTATGTTTGTCTCTTTGAGAAATCAAAAAAAAAGTTATATTGACCATGAAATTTAATAAAAATAAGAACTTAACCAAATATGTTAGAGTAACCACAGATCAGTCCTATATCCCTTGGGAGGCATGGATGAATTTTACAAAATTGAGTTTCCTAGTGACAGCCATACCTCTGATTCAATTTTGGACTATTCCAGAGGTTGCCCAACTAGAAAAATGGTTCTGTAATTATTTGCACATTCTGGGTCACAGGGTAGATAAGACACTTACTCCACACACTATTATCTCCGTCAATTTACACGTCGTTAAAGAAGAAATTACTTTGGGCTTCCTAGAAGACTGCCATGACTACCATCAGGGCCATTTCCAACACCCACGGCCACTGTTCATTCAAAGGTGCTCTTGGGCACTTGAGGCCGGCATGAGTTTTGTGTGTGAGAGCTTTGATTTTCTTCATGAGGTTTTTAAAAACCACATGCCCTCATGAGCTATTGATCCTTCAGTACTTTGATGACACCTCAGTGCTTCTATCCTCTGGCTCTTGTGTGTTGTACAGTGTTAAAATCAACTCTGATTGTGACCTACTACCCTTTGGGGTTTTCCAAACTACTTGATATTCAATTTCTTAAAAATGCAAGTCTCCTCTCAGAGTACTTCTCTCTTAAAGGAGTTCAAATGTGCTTTGAGGGTGATTCTCTCTCTGCATTTTCTCTCCCGCAGGGAATCCCAGACCCCAGCCGGTTGCCACTGGGAGCAAGCTGGAAGACCTACCCTCTCTTCTTTGGGACAGCCATTTTTTCATTTGAAAGCATCGGTGTGGTAAGATTTGAGTCAGGGTGGCCTTTCCCTGGCGCTATGAGTGGCCTCCTGGAAAGGAGCTATGAGCTCCGGGTCTGTGTCCCACTTGACCACTATATTAGGCCGGCCAGAAAATTCATGTGGGAGAAAGTAACCTCTGGCCTCACTTGGTTACTCCTGTGGTTACTCACTAGAGGAGAAAAGCAGATTACAACAGAGACACAGTCAGGAGACAGTTTTATTTTAAACGTTTATCCTCCTGTCAACATGAATTTCCTAATCTTTTAAGATGAAGATTAAAATAAGATAATTTAAAACTAAAGGAGATGATTAAACATAAAGGAACTTTAAACTGGAAAGTAGTGTATATTTACAGTAGATTATCATATTGTTTCTGCTTCCACACTTGAGGAAGGGTAGTGCTGTATATATATGTTGTTGTTGTTGTTGTTGTTTTGAGTTGGAGTCTCACTCTTGTCGCCCAGGCTAGAGTGCAGTGCATGTTCACGGCCGCCGCAGCCTCGACCTGCTGAACTTGGCAATCTTTTCACCTCAGCCTTCTGAATAACTGGAACTGCAGATGCACACCACCACGCCTGGCTAGTTTTTTGTTATTTACTGTAGAGACAAGGTATTACCAAGTTGCCCAGGCCTGTCTCGAACCTGTGGGCTCAGGCAGTCTCTCATCTCGGCCTCCAAAGTGCTGGGATTACAGGCTGAGCCACAGCGCCAGGTCTATCTATATTTTAAAATTTTACTCAAGTTTACCTAGTCAAGAATCACTTGTTTTGCTGTACATTCCTGTAAGTTTTGAGAAATACACAGAGTCATAGATGCACCACGATAAATTAATAACGATGCTCTGACAACAAAAGACTCCTTCATGCTGTTCCTTTTTGCTAACTTCTCCCACCACTAAGTCCTGGCAACCACCTTCCATTCTCTGCCTCTACTGTTTTTTCTTTTGAGTGACTCTATGTTGCCCAGGTTGGTCTTGAACCCCTGGCCTCAAGCAATCCTCCCACCTTGGCCTCCCAAAGCGCTGAGGGCCACTGTACCCAGCCTTTTGCCTATTTTAATTGGGTCGCTGTTGTTGTTGAGTTGTAAAATTTATTTATATGATAAATGATGTGAAAATATTTTCTCCTATTCCGTGTGTTGTTGTCTCGCGTTCTTGATAGCATCCTTTGATGCATAAAAGTTTTTAATTTTGATGATGTCCAATTTATCTATTTTTGTTGTTGTTGTTGCTTGTGCTTTTGGTGTTATATCTAAGAATCCATTGCCAACTCTACGGTCATGAAGATTTACCCCAGTGTTTTCTTCTAAAAGTTTTATGGTTTTAGCTCTTACATTTAGCTATTTTATTTATTTTGAGTTAATTTTTGTATATGGTATGAGGTAAGGGTCAAACTTCATGTTTTTATATGTACTTATGTAATTGTCTCAGGACAATTTGTTGAAAAAACTATTCTTATTGAATAGTTTTGACAACCTTGTCAATAACCAATTGGCCATAGATACATAAATTTATTTCTGGACTCTCAGTTCTAGCTCATTGATCCATATGCCTGTCCTTATGTCCATACCACAGTTTTGCTTATTATAGTTTTATAGTATTTCACTTTAATTTGTATATTTACTTTTTTGTCTATATCTTGTTTTATATACTCTTAGTGGTTGTTCTGAGGATTATAATATATTTCTATAACTTTTCAGTTTACTTTAAGTTAATATTTTGCCATTGCAAGTAAACTGTCAAAATTTTACTATATGACTCTTTGCTTTCTCCCCTTTAGGTTGTATTGCCATATGTATCTAAACACATTAAAATACCAGCAGATAATGTTATCATTTTTGCTTTCAATACTCATACACATCTGGGTGCTGTGGCTCACACCTGTAATCTCAGCACTTTGGGAGGCTGAGGTGGGAGGATTGCTTGAGTCCAGGCATTTGACACCAGCCTGGGCAACAACATAGTGAGACCTTGTCTCTACAAAACATCAAAAAATCAGCCTAGCACAGTGGCGTGTGCCTGTGGTCCCAGCTACTCAGGAGGCTAAGGTGGGAGGATCGCTTGAGCCCAGGAGGTCGAGACTTTAGTGAGCTATGATCGTGCCGCTGCACTACAGCCTGGGTGACTGAGTAAGACCTTGGCTCAGAAAAAAAAAAAAAGATTAGTCATACATAGTCTTTGCAATAAACTTACTAGGAGCAAAATCATACCCAGATATTTACCATTTCTGTTGTTCTTTCTTCACTCCTGAGATTTCGTTTCCCTCAGGTATCATTTCCTTCAACATCGAAGAATGCTCATTAGCACTTATTTTAGAGCAGGACTGCCAGTGACAAATTCTCATTTTCTTTATCTGAGATTGTCTTTATTTTGCCTTTATTCCTAAGGGATATTTTTGCACAATACAGAATTCTGGGTGGACAGTTCTTTTTTGTTCCATCACTTCCTTGTGTTTCTGATGAAAATTTTGCAGTTGTTTGGATCATTGTTCCCGTGTATTACATATTGTTCTTCTCTGACTGCTTTCATTATTTTTTCTTAAGTCTTTGTTATTACCAGTATATTATATTGTATCTAATATACAATATACTCTATTGTACCAGTATATTATATTGTATATAGTTTCTTTGAGTTTGTCCTGTCCGGGATTCATTTCATTTCTTGAATTTATAAATGTATGTGTTTTACCTAATTTGAAACATTTTCAGCCATTTTTTTTTCAAAAAAAAAATTTTTTTTTGCACCAATCTCTTTCCCTTCTCCTTTTGAGATTTCAATAACTTGAATGTTAGACTACTGGTAAAACAGTTGTCCCTCAGTATCCCAAATTCGCACATACTCAAGTCCTGCCATAGGCCCTGCAGAACTCATATATATGAAGTCATCATGCCATATATATGGGTTTCACATTCTATGAATACTATATTTTCAATCTGTGTCTGGTTGAAAAAAATCCACATATAAGTGGATCGTGCAGCTCAAACCTGTGTTGTTCAAGAGTCAGCTATATATTTCACAGGTTTCTGAGGCTCTGTTCATTTTTTTCTTTTCTTTCTCTTTTTTTTTTTTTTTTTGAGTTGGAGTCTCACTCTGTCGCCCAGACTGGAGTGCAGTGGCCGCTCCCGGCCACCGCAGCCTCGACCTGCTGGGCTCCGGCGATCCTTCCGCCTCAGCCTTCCAAGTAGCCGGAATTACAGGCATGCGCTACCACGCTCGGCTGATTTTTTTATTTATTGTAGAGATGAGGTCTCGCTGCCCAGGCGGGTCTCGAACCCGCAGGCTCAGGCAATCCACTCACCTCAGCCTCCCAAAGGTGCAGGATTACAGGCTGAGCCACCGAGCCTGGCTGCTCTGTTCATTTTTTTTTAGTCTTTTTTTCTCTTTGCTGCTCAGATTAGATCATTCCTGTTGCTCTGTTTGCAACTTTACTAACTCTATGTTCTATTATCTACATTCTGCTATCAGGTCCTCCAGTAAAGTGTTAAAAAATTGTTTTATTTTTCATTCTAAAATTTACATTTGGTTATTTTATATTGCTTCTATTTTGCTGAGAATTTATATTTGTCCATTTATTTCAACAGTGTTCTCCCTTAGTTTATGAAGCATGGTTATAAAAGCTGCTTTAATATCTTTGTCTGCTAGTTCTAATATTTTAGTCATCTTAAGACTGACCTATTTTGCCTTTTCCTTGAGATTTTTCTGGTTTTTATATATTGAATAATTTTAGACTGTATCCTACATATTTTGAAAATCATTTTATGAGACTCTGGAGTCTGTTACCATCATCTTGAAAATGTTAATTTGGGGTTTAGCAAATTGTCAACCTGGTTAGATTCAGATCACAAGTCCTGGTTCACTGTCTGTGGGATTTGGTTTCATGATCCAACTAGTTTCCAAAGCCCTTGAAGTGATATTTGGCTGTACCCTGCCTGAGTGCCACCCAGTGAGCAGTCTGTCAATGGAATCTACACGATAGTTCAGTTATCAAAGGCTTTGCTTTGATGTTTCCCATTAGTTCTACACATATACAGCTCAGGGCTGTGCCCAGGACTTTATCCACGGACTTTAGAAGATTGCTTTCCTTAGTTTCCTCTTCTCTGTTGTCCTGCACACTTGCCAGCTCCCAGTGGCTCCTTTGCTTATCTTCTGGCTAGAAAACCAGGGCTTTAGCCTCCCCTACACTGTCCTGCACTTCCTGTGACCAGGTCTGCCTCTAGGGTTGAGCACTGAGTGAAAAACACAATAGTGATTCTTTCCAGGGCCAGTTTCATGAGCATGCAACCCATGCAGCTGCATAGGTCCCACCTTCAGAAGGATCTCATATTTGTTTTAACACTCTGCTTGCACCGTCTTTAACCAAAGGGCCCTGCATTTTCATTTTGCACTGGGGCCCAAGTACTATGCAAACAGTTCTGATGCTCCACGCTCGTCAGACTCCCAAAGCCCACATTCCCAGTCCTTCTGCTCAGAGAAGGATTTTGTCTCAGATTTTTAGGTGCCTGGGTGACCATCATAGTCATTAATACACCCACATACTGCTTTGTGACTGGGACCTGCCATGGGGTCATGGCCTGGAGAAAAAACAAAGAAACAGAAAAGTGGAGATTCTCTCCATCCTCTCTATCTCATGGGGTCCCCTGTTCTATGTCTTCTAGCCAAGAAGAGAAGATTTCTCTTGGAGTTTTTTTCTATCTGTATAGAACATTGCATAGTTCTAGGATTGAGGCTTCCTTTGAGTTTAAACTGGAACATATGGAGGGAAAAAAGCCAGGAAACTCGCCACCATGATGGCAATTTTGGGGAGTTTTGATTTCCCTGCACAATCCACCTGCTACTATTTACTATTCAGAATCCATGCATGGTTGCCTTACATATATATTCTGTTCAGGATTTTTAAGTGTAATCAGTGAAAAAGATATAGTGGAGTGGGCTAACTTCATCTAGATGGAACTAGAAGCACTTTGTTTTTAGAATTTGGAGCAGTTATGGAAAAAGGCAGAATGCAGTGGTTGAGCAAATGACTTTGGAGGCAGAATGTGCTGAAAATTGGTTTTGTTTGTTTGTTTTTGTTTTCTGAGTCAGAGTTTCACTCTGTCACCCAGGCTGGAGTGCAGTGGTACGCTCACTGCCACCACAGCCTCGACCTGCTGGGCTCAGGTGATCCTTCCACCTCAACCTTCCAAGTAGCTGGAACTACAGGCGTGCACCACCACACCCAACTAATTCTTTTGATTTATTGTAGAGATGAGGGCTCACCAAGTTGCCCAGGCTGGTCTTGAACTCCTGGGCTCTGGCAATCCTCTCGCCTCGGCCTCCCAAAGTACTGGGCTTCAGGCATAAGCCACCACCCCCATCCTTAGAATCTTGTTTGACAATGAGTACTCTCTGAACCCTAATTCCTCAACTATAAACTGATGATAATATTTGTTCATTAAGTATTTCTTGAATGTCCACTGTGGGCTAGTGATAATTAGTATCAGAGTTGAAATTATCTTTAGATATCTTCCAGCCCAGTCTCCAGTTTTACAGAAGAGGAACCTAAGCCTCAGAGAGGGAAAGGAACTTGGGCTAGGTCACCAGCTAGGAACAGCGCAGATGTGACTGAGATCCAGTCCACCTGACCCCCAGTTCAGGAACCTTACCACTCTATGTCACCAGTCACTTATGTCTTTGACTGTGGTAAAAGAAAGAGAAAGGACACCAGCTACTTAGTCTGATCTGGCCTTCTGAAAAGATCATTTTTGACCTGGAAAATATCCAGCAAAAACGCATTGCAGGATGTGAGAACTCATAATCCCCGCATAATCTTCAGACAATTTCCTGAGCACTTAAAGAAAGTGGAAAGTCACAGTCATGACCCAACATGACACTGCCCTCAAGCATCTTCCAATTGCCTGAGGAGGGAAAGAGTTGGGAGAACCGAGAATGTGCATCCAGGACCAAAAATATTTAACAAAACAAGGGAAAAGATGCCAAGTCCCTATTTAATAATAAACATACCCATTGCTACAGAAGTACGGGCAACACTGGGTAGAAGCAAGGACTTGGACTTTGGAAGACACCTGCCCCTTTCAGGCTCTCTGACTTGGGCCACGTTACTTCATTAAGAATTATACAAATACCAGCTGTGTAGAGTTCTGGTCTTCACAGTATTGAAAAATAAGAACAGCCAACAATTACTAAGCCCTAACTATGCCGTTACAGTGCTCATGTAATTCTCTACAAAATTCCAACAGGTAACTTTTACTTTTGTCCCTATTTTTGGATAAGGAAACTGAGGCACAGACCGGCTAAATGGTGTGTGTAAAGTGTGCTTAGTATACAGCTTGAACAAGGAGCAGGAGAAGGTTGGGTGGTTTCGTGAACAACCCAAGGAGGAAATTGGGGAATGAGAGGTGGGAGGGTTGGTTCTAAAGATAGACATGACCTTCAGATGCCCAACAGACAAGAGGCATTCTTCTCCCATTCACCAGGCCCACCTTGCAGGTGGTGGGGTGGGGGGTGCACTAGAATTAGGAGTCTTAAATGCCTTGGAAAGGCTGGGAAAAAGTCAGTGGATGGGGAGAGGTGGCCTCGACTTGGATTCTCTTAGAGCCAAGTATGCACGTGGGGGAAGAAGAATTCTGCGAACAAGGGGTGCAGGAAAATGCAGTGCTGGGGAACTGGAGAGCTGTAATCCCAGGTACCCAACCCCCTGTATATCTGATGTCTCAGCCTCCTCACTGTCCCCTGATAGGAGTATACAAAACTGGGAGTCTTGAACTCAAATGCCTTTGGACAACCTGGTGTAAGTCAGTGGGCGGGGGAGAAGTGGATGGAAAAAAAATGTTGCACCTAAAGGCACTCAAATGCAATTGTCTCAGAGACCATGCTGTCTAAGCAGAATGTATCTGCTGGCCAGGTCTGGCAGTCCAGGGTGTTGAGATGGCCTAGAAAACCCGAGGGGCCCTTCTGGCTCTTAACGGTCCATGTTCATCTTGTGACTTCAAGCCTTCCTTTTTTTTTTCCTTTCCTTCGGTTTCCTCCCATCCCCTCCCATTTCCTCCCCTCTTATTCTTTCCCAACTTTTAAATTTAGTTATGGTGAAATACACCTAACATAAATACCATTTTAACCACATTTAAGTGTACAGTTCACCTTATAAAGTATATTCGCATTGTTGCACAACCATCACTACCTCTCATCTGCAGAACTCTTAACACTGCAAAACGGAAATACTGTCACCTTACAAAACAGTAACTCCCCAATCCTTCCTCCTACTTATCCCTGCTCATGAATCTGACTCATATAAGCAGAATCATAAGGTATCTGTTGTTTTGTGGTTGGATTATTTCACTTAATATAATGTTCTCAGGGTTCATCCATGACGTAACACGTGTCAGAATTTCCTTCTTTTTTAAGGCTGAATACTATTCCATTGCCTGGATACACCACCCTCGGCTTATCCATTTTGGTGGACATTTGGGTTGCTTCCACCTCTTGGCTGTTGTGAAGAATGCTGCTATGAGTATGCGTGTACAAATATCTCTTTGATGTGCTACCATTCTTTGGGTAGACACCCAGAAGTGGGATGCCTTTTTCCTCTATGTTCACGTTGTTCTTTCTCCTCCTCTCTCCTTACTCTATGATATTTCTTTAGGTGCTGCCCCTGGAAAACAAGATGAAGGATGCCCGCCGCTTCCCAGCCATCCTGTATTTGGGAATGTCCATTGTCACCTCACTGTACATTGGCATTGGGGCTCTGGGCTATCTGCGGTTTGGAGATGACATCAAGGCCAGCATAACCCTCAACCTGCCCAACTGCTGGTACCTCTGTGGAACCTTGGGTGGTGGGCACTCGGGATGGTTAGAAATATGCAGGGCATTTCCTCTTCCCTTTCACAGCTGGGAAACTGAGTCTACAAAGCCTCCCACAAGGAGAAGCAGAGTGGCCATTAGAACCACGGTTTCCACATTCCCTGCCCAGGGAGCTTCTCCTTCAACAACAGCCTCCCAAATGGAGTTGTCTTGCCTTCTTAGTGTGAAGGGGGATATAACTGAAGTAGAGAGGACAGAAGTGAGAGTCCTTGGCCACCTCAGGAGAGAAGGGAGGGGCACTGGGAGAGGGCAAGGGACAGAGACAGCAGTTGGGGTGGTCACATTTCCAATGACATTTACCAAGACTCATGACCAAGTCCTGTTTGTCTAAGCCAGTGGTGCATAGCCCCAAGGCAGAGTAGCTAGGATGAAGACGTATAAAGCAAAAGCCAACTTGGGAGACCACTGGAATCTGAAAAATCGTATGTCCCAATATACCCAATTCATGTAACAATTAGCTGACACAGACCTCAATGGCACCACATTGAAATAAACACATGAACCCACATTGCACTATGCAGCATTTTCTCCACACCGGGGCATGTCATTAACTACAGGACGTCTCTGTCTTTTTAAACAGACTGTCACTTGGAGGTCTAGTTAGCCTAAATGGGGCTGCTTTCCTAGGAAAACCAATGCCACTCAACAAGCATTGACTGCATGCCTGTATTAAACAGGTGTCAGGCTAGACACACTGGCATGTGAATAGGGATGACATGAGTAGATTGACCTCACTACCTTCACCAGCTCGAGGGAAGAATAGATAGTGTATGTATACAAACTCAACCACAGAACAGAAAGAGAAGCTCCACAGAGTAGCAAACAGGCCTTGGGGATTTCCGAGGAAAGAAAGCACATCAGAAGGGGACAATGGGAAAACTCGTCCAACAAGACAGCTCCATTCAAACCAGGACCCTCGGTACACTTACTTGTACCACCTCCTGGTGGTGTATGAGTTATTACTCCACCTCTCTGAGCCTCAGTTTCCTCATCTATAAACCACAGTTTCATGAGGAGTAAGCTGGGTAGTGTCTAAAAGCATCTGGCATATGTATGGCACCTGCTTAAGAGGGGAATTTCAAAAAAAGGTGGGATTTGGACAGATGGAAATGAGCAAGAAGATGTGCAGGCAGCAAGCAGGACTAATGTGAACAAGAACTACAGACCTGGAGAAGTGAGCCTTTTTAAAGAATGTTTTACACACACCACACACACACGTTTATTAAACATGAGAGGTGCATCTACCACATTAGTGAACTGAAGGAAAGTAGTCATACCTCAACAGGTTAAAAACAAAAAACAAAAAACTTAGAACTCAGCATCCCCTGAAGTCTTACTCACACTCTGCCCCTAGCTTGAGGCCTGCAGGTATTACCGAAATGCCAGGGTCGTCCTTGTGGCTGGCCTCACAGAAAGCCAATCACTGAGACAGTGAGTATTACCAGGGAAGAAGACTTTTAATTGGGTGCCATCAGCCAGGGGACTGAGAGATCAGTCTCAAATCTGTCTCCCAGGCCAGTTGAAATGGGGGATTGATATGGTGGAGAAATGAATGCAAAACAGCAGTAAGGAAGGGTAAGGCAGCAATCGTTGTGAATGAGGGACCTGGGTCTCACTGTTTGGATGTGATGATTGGGTGAGTTTCAGGTCAGCCTCCTGAGGAAGGAGCTCAGACAATGCAAATATAAGTTGTAAGTTTTAAAATGGGGAGGCTTAATTTCTATGTTTAATCAAAAACCCCATAAAATCAGTTCTAAGGGGAAAGTAGGCTGGTTTCACAAGTAACCCTGTTTCTCCTTTTATTCTACCCTCAACTCCCATAATCTCCACACAGCCCTGTTTGTAAACTATCTCTTCCTCCAAGGATTTGGGATTCTACAGCTCTCTCAGCCAACTGGAAATAATTGCTAAGGATCCGTTATGTGCCAAGAGTTTTGGGGGTCCAGAGAAAAATTCCCAAGGACTGACAGAGATCACAGAGGGCTAGAATCTTTAGTTGAGGGTTTGTGGTCTAAGCCACTTGTCATCTGTATCAGCCCTGAGCCTCCCCTTCCTAAAATCTAAAGTTGAACACCAAATGACAGTGGTTTGTGAGGGTGCTTTATATAACCAAGTTCAAGATTCTTTTTTTTTTTTTTCCAAAAGCTCTATTGATTTATATATGAAATGATACATTCGTTTCGTGCTTTTCACAGTGTTTCCCCAGCAACAGCCTTTGTTTATCAATATAAACATCATTATATATTAACATTATCTTACATTAGTCAATATGAGCTTAATTGCACATGCCTCAATTCTCTTTACTTTGTCTAGAGATGACCTGTTCAGCTGTTTCCATTGACTCCATAATGTTTCACTCTGTTGTCACTGTATGCTCTGGTATGACTCCCTCCTGGCTCTTAGAAGGCCCCTCTCTGTAATTTTCAAACGGGGAAACAGAAGCCCCAGGGAGTGTCAGGTCAGAAGTTCAGGTTCGGAGGAGGCCAGCGCCCTGGTATGTCTTGCAGGCTGTACCAGTCTGTCAAGCTCCTCTACATCGTCGGCATCCTGTGCACCTATGCCCTGCAGTTCTACGTTCCTGCAGAAATCATCATCCCCCTCGCCATCTCCCAGGTGTCGCCACGCTGGGCTCTACTTCTGGACCTGTCCATCCGCCTCGCCATGGTCTGCCTGACATGTGAGTCAAAAGCAGACACAATGTTCCTGTTGATCTTTTCCCAGGATCTGTCAGGGATCAGCCAGATGAGAGAGGATGGACCTGACAACCTGCATTTACTGAACACTTACTGTATTTAAGGGGCCGTTCTGAAGCTTTACAAGTATTCACTCATGTAAGCCTCAGGGGCGACCATATTCCTGCATGTATCTAACTAGACAGATTTATCGGTGTCTGGACTACGGGAGTGACACAGCTTATTGAACAATAATCATAATAAGAACTGACGTTGGCTGGGTATAGCAGCTCACACCTATAATCCCAGCACTTTGGGAGGCCAAGGCAGGAAGATTTCTTGAGCTCAGGAGTTCCAGACCAGCCTGGGCAACATAGTGAGAACTTGTCTCTACAAAAAATAAAAATAAGTTAGCCAGGCATGGTGGTGTGTGCCTGTAGTACCAGCTACTTGAGAAGCTGAGGCGGGAGGATCACTTTGAGGCTGCAGTAAGCTATGACTGCACCACTGCACTCCAGCCTGGGCTACAGAGTGAGACAAGAAAGAAAGAGAGAGAGAAAGAGAGAGAGAGAGAGAGAAAACTGATATGTATTGAACACTAGTATGCGATAGGCACTGTGTTACACTCTTTCTAGACCACATTTCACTGTATTTTATTCCATCCTCATGAAAATTCTCATAAGGTAGGACTGTGACAAACCGTACTTTACAAAAAAGGAAACCGAGGCAGCAAGTAATAAATACCGGTCAGTAAATGTCAGAGGTGGAATTGGAACCCAAGTCATCTAAATCCAGAGCCAGTGGCCTTCATGACCAGGGCAGTCATTGAAAATGGGCAGCCTGGGAGTCTAATCTGGCAACAGGCATTGTTTGACCCTCACATTGTTGTACAGATTTGGACCAACGTTTAAAATGTGGACAATCTCCCATACAAATCCAGATTTCTAATTTGAGGGAGGTGGGGGTTCAAATGATTTGGCAAGCCTGGGGTCACATTCCACATCAGCAGCAGTCCGTGGGACTCCTTGGTCCCTGGACGGTCCTGTGCCTGCCTGTTGGCTGAGGCCAGCCCCACTCCCCTTCCAGCCCTTCCCCCCACAGCCCTCCCTCCCTGGCAACTCCCCTTCCCAGCCCCTGGACCTGGAGTACCCCTTTCTACAAGTATTTTACTAGAGGCCAAAGGAGTTGTTGAAGATTCCTATATAAAGCAAAGGTGACCCAGTGTCCCTAAGGTGCTTTTTGATCGCCATTAAAGAAGCTTCTTTTTTTAAGACAATTTTATTCCACTGCATGAACATATCACATTTTCTTTATCTATTCATCTGGAGTCGGACATTTAGGAGATTTTTTTTTTTAGCATGACAAAGTCTTTACTTTTAAATGATTATCAGTTCACCGAGTAACAGCATGCAACAAGTTCTTGAAACCTATCATCTAGTAATTTTGATGAAGAGAAACTCAAAGCAGCCTAAACAATTATGATTGTTCTAACCATTAGTGGGAATGGACTACTTTAAGGCTGGGGGCTGCTTCACCTAGGCTACAAATAACTACTTATTACTTTTTCACAGATAAAGTCCCTGATCTTTAAGAAAGCATTAGGGGGAAAATTATTTAATCCCTTTCTTTCTTCAAAGAATGGTGGGGGTTTTTTGCTTTTTTTTTTTTTAACCAGATCTAAGAAAGAAAAAGTCAACACTGAGTTATATGTTGCTTGAGCTAAACAACATAGGAAAACAGACAACATATGCCCATTAAATTTCTAAGAAATATGAGACTGGGCAAGGTGGCTCACGCCTGTAATCCCAGCACTTTGGGAGGATGAGGCAAGAGGACTGTCTGAGCCCAGGAGTTCAAGACCAGCCTGGGCAACATGGCAAGGCATCATCTCTACCATATATCAAAAAATGAAGCCTGGCGCGGTGGCTCATGCCTATAATCCCAGCACTTTGGGAGACCAAGGTGAGAGGACTGCCTGAGCCCCTGGGTTCAAGATCAGCCCAGGCAACTTGGTGAGCCCTCATCTCTACAATAAATCAAGAAAAATTAGCCGGGCGTGATAGCGCATGCCTGTAGTTCCAGCTACTTGGAAGGCTGAAGCGGAAGGACAGCCTGAGCCCAGCGGGTCAAGGCTGTGGTGATCGTGAGCATGCCACTGTACTCCAGCTTGGGCGACAGAGTGAGACTCCTACTCAAAAAAAAAAAATTAGCTGGGCATGGTACTGCACACCTGTAGTCCCAGCTACTTGGGAGGCTGAGACAGAAGAATTATCTGAACCCGGGAGGCTGAGGCTGTGGTGGCCATGACTGTGCCACTGCACTCCAGCCTGGGTCACAGAGTAAGACTCCAACAAAAAAAAAAGAAGAAGAAGAAGAAGAAAGAAGGAAAGATAGATGAGATACAAAGAAGAAATCTTTTAAGTTCAGAAATCTTTTAAGTTCTAAGTCTGTACAAATAAGCTGGGTTTACTGCTCTCCAAAAAGTGAAGAGACCTGCTATATAATACACAGAAATAATTTAATGCCTTTCATAAGAATGAGACTCGAGCTTTTTTTAAGCTTTGTATTTCATGAGGACATCCAAAGTGCCCACCCATGGAAGAGCCTCTTCCTTCTGCTACCTTCTGCTTCCTTCTGCTACGTGGTCATTTTCATGGTGCTCTGGGGATATCACAGACAAAGGCCAAGAGGTGACCCAGGTTTCACGCCCATCCTGCCAGAAGCAGGTCTGGGAGTGAATCATCTTCTCCTGGGTCTCCTTCTCCGCGCTGCAACTGCCGTGGGACCCCAGGGGCGCAGCTTCCTGGGCCTTGAACTCTTTCTCGTCTGCAGGCGGCCCTGTTCCATTTCAGCCTGAGCAGTCGCTTGGGCCTGCTTCAGTCTCTGAGTCTTGTACTTCTGGGTTTCCAACACCTAGGCGGGTTCTTCCCGGCCGCAACAGCTAATGGGTCTCCAGTGGCTGACAGGCCGAAGGGATTCTTGATTCTCGCTGTATAGACCCGTCCATAGTGTCTAGTAGACACTGATTTTCTTCTTTTGAGGTAATTTGACCTTGGAGACCCATTCAGTCTCAATTTGACCTTGGAGACCCATTCAGAATCTTAGAGATTCCAGAGAGCAAGGAATTTGCCCCAAGTATGAAGGAGGAAAATTTTTTTCTCCCCAAATTATGAGTTTATTTATTTGAAAAACAACTGGACAGAGACACACAAAATTTTGTTGTCAGTTTGAGATGGGGTCTCTCTATGCTGCCCAGGCTGGCCTTGAACTCCTGGGCTCGGGAGATCCTCTTGCCCCTGCCTCCAGTGTAGCTGGGACTCCAGGAATGTACCACCGCACCTGGTTGAATTTTTAATAGTAGTCTCTAGGGAGTATGATTAAGAGTATTAGAAGACTTTCGACTTTTACTTTCGATAACTGAATTTCTACTAAACAACTGGTTTATTTTATTATTTTATTTATGCATTTATTTATTTGTTTATCTGTCACCCAGGTAGGAGTGCAGTGGCACGATCACAACTCATTACAGCCTCAACCTCCTGGGCTCAGGCAATCCTCTCAGCCTCCCAAGTAGCTGACACTACAGGCACATACCACCATGCCTGGCTAATATTTTTTGTAGAGACTAAGTCTCACTATGTCGCCTAGGTTGCTCTTAAATCCCTGGACTCATGCAGTCCTCTCACCCCGGCCTCCCAAAGTGCTGAAATTATAGACGTGAGCTACCATGCCCATCTGGTTTATTATTATTATTATTTTTTTTTTTTTTGAGTTGGAGTCTCACTCTGTCGCCCAGACTGGAGTGCAGTGGCCGCTCCCGGCCACTGCAGCCTTGACCTGCTGGGCTCCGGCGATCCTTCCGCCTCAGCCTTCCAAGTAGCCGGAATTACAGGCGCGCGCTACCACGCCCGGCTAATTTTTTGATTTATTGTAGAGATGAGGTCTCGCTGCCCAGGCGGGTCTGGAACCCGTGGGCTCAGGCAATCCACTCACCTCAGCCTCCCAAAGGCGCGGGATTACAGGCTGAGCCACTGAGCCCGGCTCTGGTTTATTATTTTTAACAACAAACTAAAAGTTGGCTAATTCCGGGCCTCTCTGCCTATCCCCTGTCCTCTCCCCGCAGGCGTCTTGGCCATCCTCATCCCCCGCCTGGACCTGGTCCTCGCCCTGGTGGGCTCCGTGAGCAGCAGCGCCCTGGCCCTCATCATCCCGCCCCTCCTGGAGATCACCACCTACTACTCAGAGGGCATGAATCCCCTCACCATCGCCAAGGACGCCCTGATCAGCCTCCTGGGCTTCGTGGGCTTTGTGGTGGGGACCTACCAGGCTCTCGAGGAGCTGCTGGAGCCAGGACCCTCTCGCCCCTTTTCCAACTCCACCATTTGTATCCAGTGAGAATGGCTCTGCCCCTTACACCCCAGCACCTGACTTTGAACGACATGGGTCTTTTATACGCGTTATCTTTATGCCGGGCCTTTGCCTTTCTCTGGGCCAAGTCGTGGTGAAGTCAGAAAGGACTCCCTAGCTACAAGGTCTAAGTGGTAAATTTTTATTTTTTGTTATCTTTCATCCTCTTTTGTTTCCATCTTTAACTTTCCACTCTGTTGAGGGCGCTCCCTTGGAAGGCTCTAGAACCGTCTGACATTTTGGTAATTCACATGGTGAATTTCACACCTAACGTGGTGCTATGCAAGAGGAAGCCACCAGGGGGCCCCATGTAGCAGCAACTGGCAGACGCTAAGGACGCCCCCCTCCATGCTTTGGCTGACAGAGGGTTTCCCGTTTTCTGGGTGTGTTCCAAAAGCAAACACCAGGCGTGGGGATGTCATCCACAACCCGGCAAGGTGTGCACAGCTCCAGTGTCGCAATCGAGAGGGCCAAGATGACCAATGTGAGCTGCGACTCTCAGATAGAAAGGAGCTATCCGTGCTTATGTCAAGGGCAACGGATTTTCCAAACTGTTGGATAACGTTTTGACCCAGCTCAAAGTTTCCCAATAATGAGCAGGAGAGGCATGGAAGTAGATGTACCAGTGGGGGGGGGGGGGGCAGGGGAGTCACCATGAACATTGCTTAAATAAACTTTTCCACTTAGTTCTTGCAGCGTGCATTGTTGATTACCTACTGAGAGCCAGGCAGAGTGCAAGGTTTTTGCAGAAGATTGCAAAGATGGCCACAGACGGCGCGTGGGGTGGCTCACGCCTGTAATCCCAGCACTTTGGGAGTTGAGGTGGGTGTGGGAAGAGCACTTGAGCCCAGGAGTTTGACACCAAGAGGAGAGAAGAGAGAAAAGGAGAGAAGAGGAAAGGAGAGGAGAGAACGAAAGAAAAAGAAAGAGGCCGTAAATTCCTCTTGATAATGTAACTTTGCATCATCTTCTATCAAGAGATGGATTTAATATCTTCATCCCTTAAATCTGGTCTTGGCCTTGTAACTTGCTTTGGCCCATGGGACATTAGTAGATGTGATGAAAGCAGAGGTTTGGTGATGCCTTGTGTATTAGGACTCGCTGCTCCGTGGAGCTGAGACCACCAAATGAAGAAGCCTGGGCTAGGCTACTGGAGGATGAGACACCAAATGGAGCATAGAGGAATCATCTCAGCTGAGCCCTGCCCCCAGATCAACCAGCCTGCCAGCTTCCAGACATAAGTGAAACCATCCTAGTCTATATCCAAGCCCAGTCAAGCTGACCCAAACCATAAGCATTGTACGTATGACCCACAGAATGGTGAGAAATAATAAAAATGTCTGATTTTAATCTATAAGACATGGGAGGTTTTCTGAGCAAAAGCTAACAGATCCGTCACTCTAAAGGGGATACATAGATGAAGAATAAAAGAATACCTGCTCTCAGACACATGAAAAAGTGCTCAGCCTCACTCATCATCAGAGAAATGCAAATCAAAACCACACTGAGATGCCACCTAACCCCTGAAAGAGTGGCCATCATTAATAAAACAAACAACAACAGATGCTGGTGATGATGTGGAGAAAGGGGAACGCTTCTACGCTGCTGGTGGGAATGCAAACTTGTACAACCTCTCTGGAAAACAGTCTGGAGATTTCTGAAAGAACTATAAATGGACCTTCCATGTGACCCAGCAATTCCCCTATTGGGAATATACCCGGAGGAAGTCAAATTATTCTACAAAGAAGATACTTGCACACGGATGTTTATTGCAGCTCTATTCACAATAGCAAAAACATGGAGCCAACCATGTTGCCCATCGAAAAATGTGGTACATATACACAATGGAATATTACGCAGCCATAAAGAATGACAAATACATGGACTTTGTAGCAACCTGGGTGGATTTGGAGTCGATTATACTCAGTGATTTATCACAGAAACAAAGAACAGAGTTCCATATGTTGTCACTCATGAAAGGACCTTGAGCAATTATAATGCTGTAAGAAAGCGATTGGCAGTAATGGGAAACTGTTGGTGGGGGTGGGATTGGCAGTTGAGGGAAACTGCTAGGGCAGGGAGGGGCATACCTCATTCACAGGGGTACCTGTATGATCCATGTTTGTATACCTGACCCTGAATTGTATCCCACATCTTACATTAAAAATAAAAAATAGCCGGGCTCGGTGGCTCAGCCTGTAATCCCGCGCCTTTGGGAGGCTGAGGTGAGTGAATTGCCTGAGCCCGCGGGTTCGAGACCCGCCTGGGCAGTGAGACCTCATCTCTACAATAAATCAAAAAATCAGCTGGATGTGGTGGCGCATGCCTGTAATTCCGGCTACTCGGAAGGCTGAGGCGGAAGGATCGCTGGAGCCCAGCAGGCCGAGGCTGCGGTGGCCGGGAGCGGCCACTGCACTCCAGTCTGGACGACAGAGTGAGACTCCAACTCAAAAAATAAAAATAAAAATAAAAAAAAAATAAAAAATAAAAAATAAATTAAAGCCGGGCTCGGTGGCTCAGCCTGTAATCCCGCGCCTTTGGGAGGCTGAGGTGAGTGGATTGCCTGAGCCTGCGGGTTCGAGACCCGCCTGGGCAGC